TAGCCAGTGGATCAAGTGCACTTTCACGTTCAAGCAGATGTACAGCCCTTGTGCACTTTTTGGCTTCTCATGCGGGGTATCCCACATTGAGATCCCCTTCTTTAGCGAAGCTACCAGGTATTTAGCAATATTACCCCAAGAATCAAATGGCAAAACCATGGAGACTTGGTTGTTGTTTGGATTGTACAAAGGAATGGTCTCCTTTTTAGTCAGTAGGCAGCTGGAGGTTGTCCACGGAATTCGGACGAGGCCTTTGAGCTTTATGGAAGCATGCTTCAGGTGCCTGAGAAGATAACAAATGTCATGTGGAGGTTTATTTCAGGTACCCTATACTGTAATGTTTAGGGGTTAGGGTATAGGGTTTAGGACCATAGTTTTAGCATTCTAGAAGGAATCTAGGACCAAACCCTAACCCCGTAACCCTAAACCCTATTGGCAATCATTCAGGCCTCTACAGTACTGGGGTTGGGTGCTTTGAGACTTGGCAATGTGCAGCCATGGCTCCCTTGGCCTTGGTGCCTTAAGGCCAGGCCCAACAATACTGTAAATAACAGTACATAATATTGATAGGAAATAATGGGGTGAAGTAATGTTAATACTGATATGAACATTAATATTCATCATACTCAGAGTAAGACATTCAGAAAGTCAGGACTAACGTTCTTTCTGGGCATTGCTGGGAAGTTCATTTTATGAGCCGTGCCATGCAGGGTGAGGCGGAAACCTGCATGCGCGTGAAGGCCGATGACGGCGCGGAGGCTAAAGATTTTGCGCGCAGTCCTCAGCCGCTGCTGCAGCAGCATCAGCACTCGATGGTACAATCTCTATGTGCCCCCAGTTTCCCTTTCATTTTCCATGTTATTCTCCATTTGGTTCTCCACTACTGGGGTAATATCTCTTTAAAGGGACCTAGGGCTTCCATTTCATTTTCCATTTGATTCTCCACTAATCGGGTAGTATCCTTACATATAACCCCTAAATAACCCCATACAGTGTAATCCCTATATACCCCTTATATACTCCTATAACCCCTACATATACTCCTAACCCTAAACCCTATATAACCAGTGGCCAGCTGGCGAAGACCCAAGGACGCAATGTCCGGAATCCGCCTAGGACTCAGCCTTCCTCATGGGGTTTAGGGTTTAGGGTTTACCCAGCCGTTGGACATGTGACCCATAGTCTAAAACTCCTTAAAGGGGGTGTCTATATGGGGACCTATTATAGGAGTATGAGCTATGGTTTATTAAACTCCTTCAAGGGGGGGTTATATAGGGGATTCTATAGGGTTTAGTTTTCGGGTGGTTATATAGGGAATTCGACAGGGTTTAGGGTCTAGGTTTGAGAGGGCTATATAAGCGTATTGGGGTTATTGAGGGGGGCACTAGGAGTTGAGACCATGGCTCATGTGACACACTTTTTGTACATCGGTAGCGGCATGCTCAGGACAGGCACCTGGCACGCATGCGCTTGAGAGAAATCACCAACAGCGCTAACTTGGGGTCGGCAGTGCCTGTTAACTGCCCTAGGCCACGACAAGTCGGCTCAGCTGTGCGTGCTTCTCTCTGAAACGATCGCCGGAGGCTTTTTCGCCTGCATCGCGGGTAGAGAGCCAATTCCAGTGACACTTGTTTCACTTTCTGCTCAGGTCTTTTCAGAGGGAACACCTTCGGGCGGTGAAGATGGTATGGCACTCAAGCATGACATTGACTCGTGCGGTCAGTTTCGGATGCTCCAAACAAGGTATGGTGTGCCACTGGTACGTGACCATGCCTGATGGCAAGACCGCGCATCTGCCATCGGACATTTTCACTGGAGCCGGTGGTACGGACCTCATTCAACTTCCCATGTCGCAATAAACGAAATTGAGCATGCACACCATGTGCTCCTGCCAGGGGGTGTGAAAGTGCAAATGGACTGGTGTGCAAGCCCGACCAGATTGTTAAAAGCATGGAGGCACAAGGCTGAATGCATTTGGTCCAACAGGCTTTCTTGGCTGTGGATTTGGGTGCTGAAGCAGATCTTCGTTCGGAGCTAAGCTTTCTCAAACGCCTTTCTGTTTCAAGGAGGCCAAGAATAGCATGGCATGAAGACGCCAGGCCTCACCATCGCAGATTTGTCTGGCAATCACCTTGGCATCCGGCTTAGCTAGTGTGTCCCAAGCTACAAGGTCAGAGGTGTAAGTTTGAACTGCAAACGAGGTGCTTACTTTGGCAACATCAAGCAGCTTGCGAAGTCAGACCAGACGCTAAACTCAATTAAATGCCAGCTTTACCTGCTGGAATGGATCGCCAACTTTCTCGTGGTTTTGGTTCTTTATCCCGCCGGCAGGAATTAATTTGGCCCAGCCAACATCAAACCTCCAAAAGCTAAACTCAGGTTTGACATTCGACAGTCTGAGTCCCAGATCTTCCCTGTTGCAACTTGCTGGTGGCTAGTAGGGAATGGGGAAACAGGTTCGGTCCAAGAAGTGCGAGATACATTCCTCCATTTCCCCACTGATCACTGGACCACCAGTAAGGCAAGGACAGTAAGACTGCTCCTTTGTCCAGGCTAAGCCTGCAAAATGTGAAGGGGGATCTGGGCTTAGCATCTCTGCCAGGTGTGTTCTACATTCAATACATACCCCTATGCAATATAGTTGCATATATATATGTGCATATATACAGATATGTAAATACTCGTATATAAATTTCGATAAATATATGTGTGTATGCAGTTCATATACCCTAAACCCTAAACCCTAAACCCTGAACCCTAAACCCTGAACCCTGAACCCTAAACCCCAAACCCTAAACCGAGTATTCACGGACATGTCTAGGCTGCGATGGCTGTTTTCACCCCATGAGCCAAGTGTCAGGCCGTGGCGACGATCACCGTCCGCGCAGCCGCGCAGATGAGGCCACAGCAAGCAGCTTCCACGCCAAGCTTCGGGTTCTGGGTGTATATTATATAGGAATTATGGAAAATCAAATGGAAACAACTATGCTATATTGGGATTATATTGGGTAAGTTAGGGTTTTGGGTGTTGGGGTTTCAGGGGTTTGGGGTTCAGGGCTCAGGGTTCAGAGTCTGGGGCTTAGATTCGCAGAATTGGTCGTGATGCTGCATGTGGCATCTGTCCTAAATTAGAAGAACACGTGTCCTTGTAATTGGGCCCCAGCAATCACACGGGCTCTGAACAGGTTTCCCCCACTTGGGGAAGGATGGTTGTGGCAACGTCTCATGTAATTGTCCTGCAGGTGGACCAAAGCAGCAGCTCCGCAGCGCGAGTTTGGGACTCAACCATTGCCAAATGGGAGTTGCCGGAAAGACGGGGGATTTGTAACCAAAAAGGGAGCCTACAACGTGTCAATGTATGCTGCGCTATCTGGCAGGAGATTAGGAAACATACTGAGAAGCTCAGAATCTGCGGTTTGGATGAGCGACCCAACTTGGCTTACAAACACACACCAAATTAGATAGCACATCTCTGCCGCAGCCCTTGTGTCCAAGCTTTGAGCAACCCTGGTCCTTTCGATTGCTTCGCTGAAGTTGTGAGCAATGACGGAACATGCGGCTGACGCGTACTTGGCACGGCTCTGCCTGCTTCCAGGCCGCAGTTACCCCAAACTGTCCTTGTTCTTTGCCGGCCCCAATGTTCCATAGGTCCAGCTACAATAGCCAAAGTGACTTGAAACAAGTGTCCGTACCTCATGCATTGGCTTCTTTACGTGTAACAGATACTGGTGGTAGGCCTCTAGCGGCTGAGCATGAGGGAATTTAGAGCTCATAAGGGTCTTGGGAAGTGCAAAGATCATGAGCACAGTTGAGGGTTTGACTTGCTCCAGGAATACTAGCCAGCGGAGCCTAGCCATATTTTGAACCTACCAAGAGCTACTTGCAATCAGTTCCCAGATATACAGCCCCTCGAAGAATTGTCCGCATTGTGGCGACCCATGGGTACCCTAGACGCACATCGGGATTACAATGCTAATGTGGAAGACGGTGCCCCTTTCACGGATTTTGTACGGGAGTTTGTTGAAAGGCTTCAACAGTCTTTGCGATAAGCTTACGTACTTATGAGCGGGTACATGTCCACGGATAGAACCCAGTGCTGCCTACAACCAAAATCTCTTATGTCGGTACACGGGCGTCTGGCGGTGTGTGACGGTTTCTCCCGGGTCGATTGAAAGCATATAAGACAACGTTGTTTCATGGTTTTGGTGAGTGAAGGTAAAGCTCCTTGGGAATGTTAGTGAGTGTATAAGTGTATACCCATGCAGTTGCTCCGTTTCGAAAAGGAAAGCTCACAGAAGAAATGTTCCATTTGGGGTCTGGGCCTTTTGCGCCTTGCGGGCACCCAAGGAGATGACTGAGCCTTGTGGAACAAAAGGCAAGCCGCCCGAACCAAAATGAACCAAGCGGAGCGCGTGCAGCAAAATAGAGTATGTCGTCCGCGGCACGCATTTTGCACGAGAAGAGAAAGAGTTATGTTGGAAATTCGGTTTCGTAGTATGTCTGCGTGTTTCTGTTGCTGGAATAAGCTAACTGTTGAACCTTGGTTCTCAATTTTGCCATGGGGAACTCGGTTTCAAAAACGAATTATGGGGTGGGCAAGCATCAATCGTTGTTGTGACATCTTCCAGCGACAATGTTGCAGTATGTTGCTGTGCATCTGAGGCGAAATGTCTTCCACATGCTCGGACAAATGTAATTAAAATTCCCAAATCCTTTTCCTTCCCTCCGTGGTTGCAAAAAGTGCCTTTGTGCTCTTGGTTGCCTTGTCTCAAGCGAGCCTGGAATTAGACATCAGCAAGGAGAAAAATTCTGTCACAGGGCCACATGCCGGCCCAAAGGGTCCAGCTTGGCCAGCTACTTGCGTAGTATGAGATGTCGGGTGTCCTGTCGTGTATGCAAGAACACAGAATGTGTGTCGGAACTTTGTTATTGACCCAAACTCTTCCACGTTGACTTGTGTTGCTGACGCCCGCTTTCCGTGACCCTCCAACCGCGTTAGTATGTCTCTACACGCCGGCATGGCGCAATCGTGGCAACCACTGACGGCGAGAGACATGCGGCGGTGGCTTTCAGTGCTTCTGCGCTTTTTTCTTGCGGGGGTTCAGGATTTGGGGAAGAGGATTCACAGCAAAGGGTTTATCGGAGATGTAACAAACTTGTCGGTCCTTGTGTATCGCAGTGGTTGGCAGAGGAAGCGAACTGAGTCCAATGCTGTATTGCGGGCAAGGGCAGCAGTGAACTCCACATGCTACAACATTTGAGGGGCCCGAGCTTCCAAACCCTAAACCTTTCACCCAAAATCTTCAATAAGCTTTAATAGGCATCAAAAATATCCTCTCGTAGTATAACAAGCCCCCAAAATTGTTCTAATTACAAAGGCCACTGCTTTAGGTTTTTGTTTAAAGTTTCAAGGATTGCTGGGATTTTCAGGTGTGATTCAGGGTTGGTGACATTGGGTTGGTGATTTAGGGTTACCTAGGTGTTTAGGATATAAATGTTAGGATGAAACATTTAGACAAAAAATGAAACCAGTTTTGGAAATCAGGGACAAACTTCTAGGATTTCGGTGTCCAGACCAGGGGATTTGGATGAGGCAAGCTTGCCACCAAAGCGGGGACCACAGCAGCTTGCGGGTGCTCGGCGCAACATTGCAGTGGCCCTTGCGATGACCACATGGCCAGCCGCAGGGCGTGGCTCGGCTGCAGTGCTCTATAGCTGCTGGGCTTGTGGGGCTTGTGCACTTGCAGGCATTCTGAATCATCTGCAGAATGCTGCTCATGTGCCAGGTGCGTACAGACGCGCGGCTACTCCGCAGACTGTCCCACTCGTGGAGCTGAACCGGTCGTGTGCCACTGCCCCGTCGAGACAGGCTGGTGATCAGGACAGAAAACTTAACACTACTGCCCCACCCGCAAACTACGTGAGTCATTCATTGCTGCCACCGCCAGGCTGCTGGATCACCCTTGTTGGATGCTTTTCAGAATGTTGGGGCTTTCCAGGCCGATTGGCATCATTGATGCAAGCGAGACCTTTTCCTTTTGGGCTGCGGCAACTCAACCATGAGCCTCTGTGTGGCAGGTTCAGGTGCCTGGGCCTCTGGTGGTGCAGTCAAGAGGAGTCTTTCAAGAGTTTGAACTGTTCATGGAGTCGCCGGAGAAAGATGCTTGGTCAAAATCTTGGACATACACCATCCTTGGCGATCCATTCTAACCATCTGAGGAAAAGCGACGCCTGCTCTGCGACCCTGAGGAGCTACTCCATGCCGCTTGGCGATCAATGTTCTGCATGAATTCCAAAGGCTGTAGCACAACAACAGCGAGGTGTATGTCTGCAAATTTGCGCGGGATACTTTGAGGTGCACGGCTACCAACCGCGTGGCAGCCAGGGCGAGCGCATCTCGCCCAGCTATCTACTGTGCATGTTCGACAAGTCATAAGTCCCACCTTGGCATGTTCTGGCCAAGGTTTTAATCGATACCGCTCCGGCCTTGTCCTCCACGGCAGACAAACTTTGCCTTTGCTGCCTGAGCAGTTTCAGGCAAGTCTTAGAAGGGCTGGGCCCAGGTGAGCTGGACCTTGGGGCCGTTGATCTTTTGGAGATCTCAGGCGCAGTTGGCTAGCTGGCGGGAGCAGGTCTGGCGGCTTGCTGAAAGGAGAGGGAGCCCAGATCTGGATTCCCTGCGTCTTACAGTTAGCAAAACGCACAGCCTGGCCGGCACTTGACCCGAACCAGGATTCTGCATCAGCTGGTCTGCGAGTTGCATGAGACTGGCATGATGGAGGCTTGGAAGCCTGAAGAAGTGACGTGCCCTGACAATGCTTGCGGCTTCGATTTGCAGGTGCAGCCAAGCATGGGATTGTTCAGCGAGGGTGCCTCCCTTGACATGCGCCTCGGCTATGGGTTCAGCAACATGGCCAATATGTAACGTTTGAAGCACTGGCGCCCAGCGAAGATTCCTGCGTCAATGTGCGAGGATTTCTGGATCTCACTTCCAGCTGAAGAAGATGCACCCCGCTGACGATGTTCCACTTGCGGGCAGCCACCTGACCCAACCAGTTTACGGCGGGCATGTTTTTGGGTATGCGGGGTCGACCTTCTATGCTGGCTTGTGTCTGACAAGCTGCGTACTTAGAGACACGGAGGCAACGTTGCAGCCAAATCCAAGTTAGATCATCTCAAGTGACAGGTGCTGGCAAAGAGACTGTGGCTTGGCACGCGTTGCGTTCGACTTTTGCAACAGAGCCGACCAATCCAATACCATTCTGCTCGCTGCGAGTTCATAATCAGGTTCGGCTGCCACTTCATCAAGATCCCAGCTTCCTGTTCCTTCGCTTGCAAAGCGAGCAGATTGTGAGGCACACTTACCAACTTGCAGGGCACCCATTTCCTCAGGTCTCTTCTGATTCATGGCTCGTCGGCGCCACCAGGGCAAGGTCTAGAAGTCTGGCACGAAGCATCCCAGGAGATGATGGCGACAGGTCGTCTCACATCTGAAAGTCTTTCTCTTCTGTTGGTGTGCCAGGAGTTCGTGGCTGTGCCGCGGCTGTGGCCTGAGCTGTGTGAGTATAGCTAGTGGCGGCCTTCATTGCGGGACTCGGTGACAAGTGGGAAAGAGCCCCGGTGACGTTTCTGTTGCCATCCAGAGAGTATCATGCAATCATGCAATTCTTGCCAGTCAGGTCCGGCTGCGAAGTGGCCACGATTCTAATTGGCCAGCTTTTTCACTTGTTGTGTGGCCGTGGAGACCTGTGACTCGACAGCAGACAATCATAACTTGCACAGCAGTCCCAGGGAGTTTTTTGCCCCTTGCACTGTAATTGCATGCGCAGATGGGTGCACAAGAATTGCCAACACCTGAACCGCCAAAAAGGCGCTTCGCCAAAGGGGCCCATCGAGTTGTGACTCGTCCAGAAGACATGCAGAGGCAGCGGCTCGGAGCAGTCTTCTTCTTCCAGCACCCTGGTTGCAGCTCGTGCTGTACGTGCTTCCATGAAGAGATCTGCGTTTCAACATGCAATTTCATCCCGAATAACAGTAGAAGCAAAAGTTTGTACCGTAGTACCGCCACATTTTCCTTTTTTGTCATCTGGACTCCATGTTGGTGTTGATAATGCTCAAAGAGTAGTTTCGGGCATGGCAAGCAACTGCCAGATCCGTTCCAGCCTACTTGCGTTGCACAGGGCAAAGCCCACGCGCCCGGTGCCGGCCGGGATTCTGTTGAGGCCCAAGTTGGACACCTTGTTGCTGCCTTTGGTGCCTCCGACGAAAGGGGACGACGTTCCGAACCTTGGATGCATCGTGTTTACAGGAACATAAGTGGCCCAGTGCAAGTGCATGCAGGTCTTCTCGGTTGGCAATAGAAGGTAGCACCTTGATCAAGAGGGCTGTCGATTCTGTGGTCAGCTTGTTCGATACTGGTAGCCCTTGGGTGTCAAGCAGCAAGGCAAGGGGCGTTTTTCAAAGGAAGGGGATACGAGCAGGGCAGTGCTGGCATTAATCATGTTGCTCACGGCCTGGGACTTCGCATGCACCTGCAGCGAAAGATCAGGATCACCTTTCGCGAGAGGCGCTTGAGGAGCTACCAGCGCTTTGGACGCGCAGCGCCAACTTGGGAGAAAAAGCCAGCGGCTGGGGTCTTTTTGGCAATGCCCGTGCTATCAACGATATCAACGTCATCAACAGCGAGTGTATCTGTCGCTCAAGACAGTGCAAGTAGCACGAACACCTAGCACTTCCAATCATGCGGTCTTCGCTACTAGATCAACAGAGGCCGTACTGTACAGCAAGTGATTTTCGAGCTCATCCGAGACCTAAGCCTATACAAATATCGCCTTGCACCTTTCAGGCTGCACAGCCTGTCTAAATGTTCAATGCTTGACTGCTTCAAAGGCTGCTTGCCTTGGAGCCTCCACGCGGTTGCGGAGATGGCTGATGCGGCGAAGCCGCCAATGCCAAGAGAAGCCGTCACCTGCTCCTACGGTAAGGCCTCCGTGGTCTTCCCGCTGAGCATATCGGCGGCTCCGGCAGTGGCTCTACTGGATTCTACGAAGCATGCGCCGGCTTGGCCAGCGGAAGTACTGGGCTACACCACTTCACTCACCACAGAGGCAGGTGCTTGCTCCGTCAGAGTGGCCTTGGAGACATCGGATGTTCTGGAACAGGGCAACTATGCAGTGGCACTGCAGGCACCAGGTTTTTCGGGTTGGCTCCCCGGTTTGGGCAACACGCGGAAGCTGGGGAGCAAGTGCCTTGGCTTTGAGGTCGTCGTTCTGGCCCGGGCTGACTCTCTCCATTCCGCGGTTACCTACCTGGCAGAGGACGTGTTAGCGGCGCTTTTCCCTCGCGGAGCGACCGCCCGCATACGCGTTCTGCAACCGCGGCTCATGAAGCAACTTGCTGACTGCCCGGGCCAGTGGCTCCGAGACAGGCTGCTGAAGCTGGCAAACTGCGTGGAGGAGCGCCACGACCTCGCCGAGCATTTTGCGGGGCCCAGATTGCAACGGGAGCTGGAATCTGCCGGCCTCCGGTTCATGCGCGGTGCAAAGGGAGAGACCGTTTCCCATGCAGACAGAGGACAGAGGATCTCTGAAGCGGAGCTGGGATATTGGCAGGAGGAGGCAGACTTGGGGCATCGCTGTGCTGGCAGCATGGAAGGCCACTTTTCTGAAATCCCGCCTGCGATATCTTGTCATTTACAAGAGTTTCGCACTTTGAGCATGGTGATGCATAGTTACACGCTGGATCATGCTGGTATGTCAAGGATCCGCTTAGCATACAGTCCTGTGCCCTGCTCAGGTTCTCATCGTCGGGATGTTCCGGATGACATCATTGCTTCCATGCTCTGAGGTTGATTCCGCTGCAGCAGCCTGACCCAATCTGGGTCCTTCCCCGTGTCCATGAAGACCTACCCCAGCCAAACCACACCAAGGGCAACGAGGCCTGGGAGGAAGATGGGCGCTTGGCAGGGGTGACTCTAAATCTGCCACGGCCTGCCACAATTTTCAGCGCAGCGCTGTCATAGCTCAGTCAGTTGATTTGCGCGCGCAGTCTCAAAAGAGTTCCGTCCAGCTTACAAGTACCTGCGCTTCTCACTTCGACCCCGCAATTGGTTACGACTTGAGGCCCGGCTCCTGCGAGTTCGTGGCTCCAGCCAAGGATGCTCAGGCGGCTCACATCTGGCAGCAGCTTGGAACGCATGGGGTTTCGGGCTTAGGGTTCAGGGCTTAGGGTTTCGGGCTTAGGGTTTAGGGCTCTGGGTTTAGGGCTTAGGGAGAACGGAAAAGAACATGGAAACCACCACAGTATAGGTTGGGATTCTATACGGAAATATGGGGATTATGTGCAGCTTGGAACAAGCAATTAAGATCCATTGGCATTTGTTGGGGATAATGGAGAAGAACATGGAAACTACCTGGCCAACTACCTGCTGTATAATGAGGGGATATGTTGAGATTGTATAGGGAATATATAGGGTTCTATAGCCCCACTAGTGGAGAATGACGTGGACAAGAAAATGGACAATTAGACAGACACTGGGCTATTTAGTTAGTTATAGGGGCTATGGTCTCCGAAAAAACATCATACCCTATCTGCCCAGAGATGGCAATAACGGCGCCTGGGCACGCTTGCTGCACAATCCATCAACGTGGGTCCGATTTTGTTGGATTGGGGCCTAGATTAAACATTCCCTCAAGTAGTATTACTATGATCTTATTATTTCTGTTATTATACCGTATTATACTATTTTGTACAATACTATAATATTTTGTACGATGTTATATCGGAACCTCAGCAGCTGAGGTTCCTCTTTCCGGCCGCTTGCCCAGTTTGACATGCAGCGTTTGGAAAACGTTTGGAATCTGTGGTGCTTAGCAGGGAATGGGGGGGAATGGATCCCTGTAGTAATCCCTATAATCCCCACAAAAAATCCCGATAATCCATTCCCCCCATTCCCTACTAAGCACCAGGGGGTGGAATCTGTGGTGTAGCGGATGTGTGTGGCTACCGCCAAGGGCAATTAGGTCTTTGACTTCTCTTGGTGCCGCAGCATATCCAAGTTTGCCGCAGTGTTTGTATACTGTATACGTTGCAGATAGTCTTATGAACAGAAGCACTTTAAATACAAGTAGTCGCAATAAGAGCAGTGCTGGCTGTGATGGTAACTGTGCTAGCTGAACTTGTAACAACAAGCATCAAGCGCATCATGCTAGTATCAATCAATAACGCAGAGACTGACAATCCAGCATGAGTTATAGCCTAAACTCCTAGCATCCCCCTAAATAAGACCTAGCCTATAGTAGTCCCCTATAAAACCCCCTTTAAGGAGTTTGGACTGTAGCTATCTGTAGCTCATATTCTCTGAAATGAGGACCAGTCAATCCCGACTGCTGGAGCTGCCAGGATGGGAAGCTGCACGGAGTGAGGGGGTCATATGGGTTGTTCTCAAAATTATGGGGCCCTTTTGGTTATGGATTATATTATGGCGCCTAATGTTTAGGGATACCAAAGAGGGAACCTAATTTTGGGAATTGCCCATATCCAGTTGAGATCGCAAGGTGTCAGTTCTCTTGCTTGGAAACTCAGCAGCTGCAGAGTCCATAGGCTCCCTTCACCCCGGCGAACAACACATAACTATATGTTACTGTATATTACTACGTATTACTATCTATTATTATATATTACTATATATAGATATATTACTACATATTACTTCTACTATGGGAAAGGGTGAGAGGGGGCTGAGTTTCGCCCTAGACACAGCACCCGGCGCCTCTAAGATCCTACACCCCAGGCCCCTGTAGGGTAGTTTTCCTAGATTTGGGGACCCCAAGGTAGTCCCCATCATCCGTACTATAATCTGCAGTACGAGACCCCAAAATGGGTAACCCTAGTTAGTTTTGGGAAGCCCTAAACCCCAAATCCTAAACTCAGGAGCGCCTGCCGGTCGGCCCCCCCCCGTTTTGGGGGGCCGACCGAAGCACTTCCACGAGCCGGACGGCATGCCTCGCGCTCGCACATACGGTGCGCCTGCCACAGTGCTTCTTCTGT